CGCTGGTCAGGTGTTGGGGGGGGGGGGGGGGGGGGGGGGGGGGGGGGGTTGCAGGAGGAACCCCTGGTAACTGGACCCAGCCCTCCCCAGCCAGCACGGCCAGGCAAAAGCACTCCAATAATACCAACTGTCAAAAACCCAGAACATCCATTTATCATGTCAGGGCGGCAGGAACACCAGCACAGGGTGGAGGAGGAAGGGCTTGGCCCCTCACCTGCAGCTGGTGCTCCTTTTGGGGGGGTGCAGACACAACAGGGGAGGCCCGAGCTCAGTCACAGGCAATAAAGCAGTGAGAGCAACTCCCAGCAAGAGGAAAAGAGATGGCAGAGGCGGCCGGGGGGCAGGCAGCTGCCCCTGGAGCTGCCCCACACCAGGCATCCTCCTGGACCTGCTCCCCATCGCTCCTCGCTACCCCAGCCGGGCTCGGGCAGGGGCACCCTGCTCCTCTGTGGGGCTCTGCCAGCAGCTGGGCAGGACAGGGCAGCAAAGGGCCGAGTGCCGGTGCTTGCTGGGGGAGCAGGGCTCTCCCCAAGGCCGGGCAGCCCCAGGGAGGCTGAGATTACCACGGGCTCCCCCAGCCTCAGCCCCTCCCAGCTGATGGCCAGGTCTCTCCTCCCAAGCTCTCCGCCCTGCGGCCACGCGGAGCTCAAGTCCTGCCAGACACCGAGCCCGGCTTCTCCCACACGGGCCTCACGCACAGCTGAGCTGAGGCCACCAACGCAGGCGGCAGCAGCATCCCAGGAGCAGCTGGGATGTGCTTCTGTGCTCTGCAGAGACCTGGAGCGCCATGCTGCTCATTGGGGTGGAGGTTTTTTAGACCAAGGCATCCGAAATCCTAGTGGGCAGCAGCTATTGCCCTTCAATACTACAAGTCTTTCTTGCAAGGGGACTGTTTTCAGCTTATTTCCCTTTGCCCACAAATGAATTTTGTTTTGTCATGGTGCCAAACCGTAGGACGCTCATCCTTCACCCGCAGCACTCACCTCGCCCGCAGCACCTCCCGGGAGGATGCAACGCTGCCAGGCAGGGGAAGGGACAGTGCTGCTCCGCCTTGTCAAACCCCAGCTCCCAGCGAGTCACCAGCTTCTGTGTACTATGGGCTGAGGTCAGGCTTTGCCAGAGGAACTGTGGCTCACGCGTAGCACCGAGAGCGAGACAAGCCAGGATGAGGACACGGCCATCCCCCCCGTCGCAGAGATGCTGCCCCCGCCCCGGCCTTGGGCAGCCGCTGGG